AAAAAAAAAAAAAAAAAAAAAAGAAAATGGTAAAATCTTAAATAACTTCAGGTATTGCGATTATTTCTGAAGATTCCAATACTGTCAAGATCCATATCCTTTAGGGAATGTACTTATGTAGCCAGGGAGAAATCCAAAGAGTTAATGAACCCAGTGTTCCTTTCCACGCTCCAGTGCTGGGGACCCTTTCCAATCTTCCATTCACTTGGGCAGTCATTTAACATACACTTACTCAAAACTGCCTGTGTGAGGCCATGTTATGGTAAAGGTACAGTCGGTGGAGAGGGAGACAGAGACAGACAGGACCCCACTCAAATGGAACTGAAGTCATCATGTCTGTAGGACAACTGTTACCCTTTTCTAAGAGGACAATTAAAACCCAATAACACCCCCGTGTCCTCATTTCCTGGACAAAGGGATGTGGAAAAATATCTCTTCACTGTAGTACTGAGGAGGCAAGGTTGGAATTTTTTTCAAGACAAACTTTTCTTTTTTGTAAAACAAGGTAACATCCTGCTCTCACTCTTCCCTGGGGGAAGGGAAACAGGTCTTGAATGCATTTATTTGGTACAATTTTAGCTAAATAATTAGAAGTTAAAGATCATTTTGGCTGGCATAGTTTATAAAGCATCTACTCTTCTAATCCTTTTCTTTCCCTGAGCACTTTCAGGGAACCCCTCACCCCATGGCTTCCTTTTGAGATTTTTCTGGTTCCCTTTTAATTCTTCCAGTGAATTCTCAATCCATTAAGAAAAGGGATAAAGGTAATATCTCATCAGGATAAAAGACTTGATTATTCTTTGATTGGGTAGCAGTCCTTGGCCTTTTTCCTGCTCTCCACTGTGCTTTGGGGGAAAAGATTTGTATCATCCTATTTCCACTGAGATTCTGCTACATTTAAAACTCTCAGGTATAATTTCTGGCTTCACATAAAGCACAGGGTCATTTTATCACAGTAATAAGAAGTAAAAAGATGCTAAGGAATAAGAAGGGGGTATGAAGAATCTGCTGGGAGAGAAATTCATTCCTCAGTATTTCAATTATAATATTCATAGATGTTCTAGGATTCTCAGGTAGCCCTGAAAACAATAAGGAACGCTTTACAGTAACATGAACACTTCAAGTACAAAGGTCATGTTGAATTCATCATCTGCCAGAGTGGCAGACAAGTAAATCAATTAGGAAATATTTTACATGTTTTGTTCTCTGAGGTTTCCTTATCTAAACCTCCAATTTAATTGTGAAGCCCAAACTCATTCATTTATTTACTCATGCATTCAACTGAGAAACATTCTGTGAGCACCTATTCACATCCATTACACCAAAAGTCCTTACAGAATTCACAGTCCAAGAAAGAAATTAAACTTTCATCCAATAGTCATATCTAAAATGCATAAAACTGTAGTTGCAATGGTATGAGAAAACTCCAATAAGGAGATTTAACCTAATCACAAGGAGAGAGAAGGAGACAAAAGACTTTCCTTCCTGATAACTGAAAACGTAACCTGAAGGATACAAAGGAGATAAAAAAGGAAGCAGTGCCGCTGGACCAGCACAGTGGTTATTTTCATTATTAGTAAAGTTGATTAAAGCAGCAAAAGTTTATATGCCATATGCTGAAACACATTATTGAGGACAAATGAGAATATTGCTTACTTAAAAGATATAGTTTTGAATATCCTCCACCTATTACTATCAATATTTTGGGAGGTTGAGGTAGGAGGACTTCTGAAGGCCATGAGTTCAAGGCCAGCCTGGACAACAAAGCGAGACCCTGTCTCGACAAAAAAATTTAAAAATTAGCCAGGCATGAGGGCGTATGCCTACACTCCCAGCTACTCAGGAGGCTAAGGCAGGAGGATCACTTAAGCCGAGGAGTTCAAGGCTTCAGTGAGGCATGATTGTGCTACTGTACTCCTGCCTAGGTGGCACGGCAAGATCTTGTCTGAAAAAATATTTAAGAAAAAGGAAAGAAAATAATAAACATAATTTGGATTTTTTCTGAAATTAATAAGCCTTTTAATTTACGAACATACTGATTTAAGTACTGATTTTCTTCTTTAAAACACTGCTGCACGGGATTTGAAATATGAGATAGGAGTTTTAGATAAGATTCTGGCATTCTATTCATTCAATAACTTTCCAAACACCCTAGGATTTTTTATTCCAGGGGATATGAACTTATTTTCAGACTCATTCTTTTTAAAGTCCTAGCTGAGTGGCAGCTGCGGTTGGTTCTCACTACCTTAAAGGAGAATAAGAACATCCAAGGCAAGAGCAGTTAAATCCAAGGACAAGAGATAAGAATGTTTTAAGTCTTGAGGGGCTGACAGCAACTAAATTTGCAAAAGAAGAAATTCGAAAAGCTACAGTCAATTAAGAAAGAAGCAACAGATTAAGGGGCAAGCAGATAAAGACATACAAATAGAGAAATGGAGAAATCTGAGAAGTGATTAGGGGTATAGGGAAACAAACAGAACTAGGAGAAAGTGATGTCAGTTAAACCAAAAGAAAACAAGACTTTCAAAACGAAGATGCACAATAGAAGGCGGCCAATCAGAGTAGTGAGAGCAAAAGGCAGATATCAAAGCAAAGGGAAAATGAGCATAAAATGCTATTGCAGAGGGAAAGAGCAAGAGAAGTCACTGGGGGGATAACAGGATTCTACTTTGTATTTAAGTAATATAATGGCTACCTTATCATTTTCATTCTTCCAAACGGAAGATTATGGGCTTCTTGAATAAGGATTATTCAAGAAATTTAATGTAGACTTCCACATACATTAAACTATGGTAACTTGGGTGGACAAATTTAATTTAAAACTTGAGGCAATTCTTCAGTTACCCAGGTTTACACTAATCTTAGCATAAAGCTTTTAGCTTTCACCTAGGTAAAGATTAAATAAATTCTGACTTAATGTATTTTCTTTTTGTTATTTCTGTAAGACAGCCCAGTCTAAAAAGTGCTGACACACTAATAAAAGATAGATTAACCCACAGACAGAACTATGGTTTAGTTTGACTCGCCTTAATCCAAGGCTACATTATATATCTAAGATTAATTAGATGTAACTGTTTCTCTTTTCTTCATTAAAAGCAAAATCTTTAATCTCTCCTTTATAAGCATTAAATTATGTTTTCACAGTTCTGGTGTACAGACTTAACTTTTAAGATTTACATAATTCTTAACAATAAAGAGCATATATGTCTTTCATCT